GTATTTTGACAAAAAATTTTCTTTAATTTTTTGTTCTAACAGGCGATTTTTGGCTCAAATAATTTTTTGTCTAACTTCTGTTCCATAGAGATTTTTTTTTGTTCCAACAAATAATTTTTTACTCAATTATTTCTTGTATCATGAGATTTTTGTGTTCATTTAGCGATTTTTATTCTATCAATATTTTATTCCAACTAGCGAATTTTTGTTTTCTGTTGCGACTAACAATTTTTAGCTCAATTTTTTTGTTTCAATGAGAAATTTTTAGTTTACCGCAGAATTTTTTGTTCTGACGAACGATTTTTTTATCCAAAAATTTTTATCTTCTTCGTAAAATATGAAACATGACTTAAATCATGAAAAGCCATTCAGAGCCTAATTAAAACTAAATACAGTAAAAAAATTAAAGTTTTTGTGTAAAATACATATTTAATTGCAAAGCTGAATGATGTTGTTGAGGGAAACTTTAAAAACTATTAATTTTTTCTTCTGAAAATAAGACGATAGTCTGAATTTCTGATACAGACACTTGAAAAACAAAAAGATTTCTAGCATTTCAAATTTTTGCTAAAAAAACTAAAGATTGTCAGTAATAAACCAAATTAAGTTTTTACATTCCAAAATAGCAATAATTGCTTTATATTTTTACTTATTTTTTTATTACTGTACTGAAATTAAGTTCTTAAAACATGATATAACAATTAATTCTTCGTGTACCTTACCCGGAAAGTCTGCAATAAACAAGACATCACTGTAGTTGGACCACGAATAGACCTCTTGACTGATTTTATTCATTTGAATCCTGAAATCATTATATTCAGTCAAGACTGGTTTCAGCCACTCTACTGGCCGGAAAGGAGACCAATTAGCCTTCAGTAAATCATAGTTTGGGTCATACATCCGTTGCTGAAATCGCCCATTGAGAGAACACCAAACATCTATATAAATTGATATGTTTTCAGAAGTTATATGCTTGGGCCCAATTTCATTCTTCCCACCTTCCCGGCTCTTTTCATCTGAAAATAAACAATCCAACACCTGAAAAAAAAACTGCAAAAATTGTGCTTACGTTTCAAGTCTTGAAGCAAATTATTTTTCAGACATTCAGCATATTGTAGACACATATCAGCGTGTTTATTCCATCGTTCATTCTGCGTCCAAGCTTCAGGATCTAGGAAAAACTCACCACCTGAATTGTTATCAACCACTTTGATTACAACAATTGTGGTGTCCCATGAGTGTACCATCATGTCCCAGGAGTACCCATAAAGCCCTTTCGTCCAATTATTGTACCCCTGGTGACTGTAGTAAACAAACAGAAGGTTTATTATTTTTAACTCACTTGGGTGATAAAATGTGAATAGGGGAGGAAGCACTGAAGTCCACAATGAGTCAATAAAAGTCCCACAACTAATTTATGTTTCCAATTGATTTGGTCTTTCGTGTAAACACACACGGGACTTGATTCCACTTTATAGTCCACATTCTTGATAAAAACACTTTGTAAGCGACGTGGCCACGTTTCTGAGCAAAAAAGAGGCATTGTTGCCAAACACACGTATGGAAACATTCCTGAAAAAAGCCATGATTGGGGAAAAACAAGAGTTTTTTGGTACCGATACTGAAAAGTCGCGAATTCATGAGATGAAAACAAGCACAAAAAATCATCGCAATTGGTCGAGTGATTTCAATAAGCATCCAGAAACCAATTGTGAGATCGAGAAGAAAGCCGAACCAATGCACAATTAAATAATCGATTTGTTCAACGGTGAGAAATATTCTGAAACGTGAAAATCAATATTTTATTGGAAAAACGTGGGGGAATTACGTGAAAGGGAGAAACACCCAGTGACTCCCCAAATTGGTCATCGAGTATCCTTCAAGCCATTCCCTATCAGTCTTTTTCAAACCGGCCAAAAAATACAACATAAAAAATTGAAACTTTAATATGAAATAATTCCAATAGGGGACATGCCGATTTCGCTTTTTTTCATCGAAAATTCCATCTAAAGAACTAAAAGAAAATTAAATTCTTTGATGATTTTAATTGATTACAAATAGTGGTTTGCTGAGGATCCTACTAAAAGCATCGTAACAATTCCAAAAAGGTAGCTGTGATTGTTCCAGAACGATTTATCCAGCAACAATAAGTACCAATAAGGAAGGCCAAATAATAACGCACTAGTGCGAAATTTGTAGCCCAGCATGATGCCACAAGCGCCTGTAAAATGCGATTTTAAGGGTAAAAAATATTGAAAGGAAAATTTGTGGTACCAAACCACATATTTCCGTAAAGTAGAGCCATGTATGGGTATGGCAAAGGGCGCAAAATTGGAAATAGAGGAAAATGACAATCTCGGGGATCCCCCCATCTAAAGTCAATGTCAGAACCACCGCGCTCTTCGGGCAGGTCTAGCAACATTAACAAACCTGAAAAAAACATAATCACAGATTTATTTAATTAACTATCTTAATTTACTTCATTTTGCTTTGCTTTGTTGTTCTCGTTTTCTTAGAATTGAAATTTGAATTAAGACTACCCACTTAACGATTTTATTTTATACAATAGTAAAATAATATTAAACATTAGGCACTTTTCTAAAATCAAGTTTTTTTTTTACAGTAAATTTACAAAATGCCAATAATTTTTACTTACTAGGATTGTTTAAAAAAATTATCCAAAAAACATGTTAAAATAATTGAAAA